AAAAAAAAAAAAAAAAAAAAAAAAAAAAGAAACACAGTTCTCAGATAGAGGGCAGGTGCTGGTAAGCAGGTGGGCAGGGAAGCAGTGCCCCTCACTCATCTGTTCTCTTGTCACACAAATATTTGAGCTACACTGTTAGAGGCGACATGGTGAACAAAATGGAAAAGGTCCCCATGCCAGTGGAATAAACACATTGGGGAGGCAGATGTGGGCCAAACAGAAATCTATGTGTCATTCCCCATGACTGTAAGTGCCGTGAAGAAGCCGCAAGGCATCAAGGGAGCAAGCTCTGGAGTTGGACCCTGGAGAGGCCCAGTCCGGCCACCTCAGCTACCTCCGACAGTGGGTTCCTCACCAGCTCTGTGCCTCAGTTTCCGTGTCTGTAAAAAGCACTGTAACAGAACCTACTTTTTTTTTTAACCTTTCCTGTGGTACCGAAGGACCTACTTTTGAAGATGGCTGCAAGAACTAAGAGGGAATGCATGTAGAGGACTCAGGATTGTGTCTGGCAAGTTTCACGTGTGCATGTCTCACAGGATGATAGTGGGATACTGTGAGGGTATAAGTGAGGGAAGGCAGTGTCAGGTAGCATTCCTGCTAGGCTGTGAGGGTCGGCAGGCATGAGCCAGGTATGGGAACTGGAATCTGCAAAGAGCTGGGAACTAGAAGCAGGGAGGCCCGCTCAGCCAGCAGCTGTGGACGAGGGAGGCGGAGGCTGGGCCAAGCCTGCAGGGCCCCCAGCCAGGGCTGCCACTAAGCACTTTTCACTTAGCGACACAGGCTAAGCCTAGGGATGGGACACACTTGGCCTGTATGTCCCACCTTCCTAATTCACATGTGGGAAGCCAGAGGCACAGAGGGAGGAAGCTATGGTGCAAACTGTCCCAACAACACAGCTGTGGGCTACCTGAGGCTCCCACCCACTAGGGCTCGGGCCCCGCTGTCTCCTCCACCTGTACAAGAGGGACGTGAGACTCAGAGCAGTGATAAGCCTTGCACAGGAGGCAGCAGGGAAGGGAGGAGGGGCCGCCCAGGATCACAGCTGCCCCAGACAAACTCTGGTTTCCAGCAAACACCCTGGGCCAGCTCCTGCTCCCTGGAGGGTTCAACCCAGCCTTCAGAGCTCCCGGCAAGAGATTTGGCTGTACCCAGTCACTCTGCATTGTGGATACACCCAGCTCAGTTTGCCTAGAGACCACAGGAAGCCCCCGAAGTGAGGAAGGGGGTCAGTGGCCACCCCTTACCCTATAACCTCTGATCAACATCGTGATCACCAGTATCAAAAATGGGAGGTAGATTGGGCGTAATTACGCCTGCCGTAATCTCAACACTTTGGGAGGCTGAGGTGCGAAGACTGCTTGAGCACAGGAGTTCCAGAGCAGCCTGGGCCACAAACCGAGAACTTCTCTCTTAAAAAAACAAAAACTAGGCCAGGCATGGTGGCTCACGCCTATAATCCCAGCACTTTGGGAGGCAGAGGTGGGGGATCACTTGAGGTCAGGAGTTTGAAACCAATCTGGCCAATGTGGTGAAACCCTGTCTCTGATAAAAATACAAAAATTAGCTGGGTGTGGTGGCAGGTGCCTGTAATCCCAGCTACTCAGGAGGCTGAGGCAGGAGAACTGCCTGAACTTGGGATGCAGAGGTTGCAGTGAGCTGAGATTGCGCCACTCCACTACAGCCTGGGAGACAGAGTGAGATTCCATCTCAAAAAAAATAAATAACTTCCCCCCCCAAAAAAAAAAACCACAAAGTAGCTTGGTGTGGTGGCACGTGCCTGTAGTCCCAGCTACTAGGGAGGCTGAGGCAGGAGGATTGCTCGAGCCTAGGAGGTCAAAGCTGCAGTGAGCCACGGTGGCGCCACTGCGCTGCCTGGGCTACAGAGCGAGACCCATGTGCTGGCCTCAGTAGGCCTCAGAGAACAGTCCTCTCCCCAGCTCCTCATTCTCCTGGGGAGGGGGCAAGAGCAGGGGCTGCAGCTGGGACCCAGGCATCCTATTACCCTGCAACCCCAAGAGGGCTCCCACCACCTGGCTCTGAGAACAAGAGGGTCTGTGGCAGGGCAGTGGCAGCCGGGGGTGTAGGAGGGGAGGCGTATGCCCACCCTTTCATCTCCATGGCAATGTTTCCTGTGCAGGGCAGGGCGGCTCCCGGAGCAGCCTGGCTCCTTGCTGGGGTGAGGGGACCTGCTTCAATATAAGATTCCTCCACTCACCCTCCTCCCTACTCTGAAGCTCACCACCCTCCACAGGCCTGTCTGACGCACCCAGGGCCCCCTTCTGCTCAGAGAAGGATCCTGAGGCCGTGACATTCATTTGGAGCTGCCACTTCCCTGGAACAGCCTGGGCTTCAGAGGCTCACCCAGCCCCAGCTAGGGCAGTGGTGCAGGGAAAGGGTTGAAGGGGGCTTGGAGGTTCTGCAATCAGATGGGCGAGCCTGCCTCTGCCACCCTGAGGTGGGACCCTGGAGAAGCCACAGAACCATCCAACCTTCGGGGTCTACACATCCAAGGAAGTCGAATGTGCCAAGTGCCTGGCATGTAACAAATGGTCACATGCGCTATCTAAGAATCATGCAGGGGCATGAGCAGGAGGAGCCACCCCAGGGTCCCCTGCTCCAAGCTCACGCCTGAGGCTGGCTCCAACAAGGCAGTGGAGGAAGACTCCCTGGCCCACTCCAGGCTCTGGGACAGCACTGGGGCTCAGGTGAGGTGGGACCCACAGAAGACACAGGTTGGATGGAGGGCAGGCAGCCCTGTTCCCTGATCCCCAGCTACAGCCCACTAGTCAGGAAGGAAGATAGCTGGAGAAGGCGGTCCCAGAAGGCCTCTCCCTCAAGCTGGCCCGGCCCCTTGGCTCACACCGGCCCTGGCTGCCAGCAGTGGTTTTCCTAATAGAAGCCAGGTGTGGGCCAGATGCCCTGGGCGGAAGTGGGGGGCAGGGCCACACGGAGAGCGGCATTCCAGGCCTGCTGCCCCCGCACCAGGGCCCAAGCACAGGCCCCAGCCAGCAGCTGGAAGGGGTGGGAGCCACCCATGCTCTTCCCAGGTCTCCTTGCCCCAAAGCCCTACTCTCCAGAACGAGATCCCCTCCTCTCTCTTCAAGGAACTGGGAGCCCCTTGGACAGTAGCCATTCTATCCCCACCTCTACATCAGTCACCCCCGCCAGCCCTGCTGGAAGAGGAGAGAGGAGAAAGGCTGAAGAGAGGGGGCAGAGGAGGGGAGAAGAGGAAGAATCTCGTGGGCCCAGGACGCTGGCTCAGAGCTGTGCCTGGTAGGTCAGGTAGCAGCATAGGTGCCCTGGCAGTGCCCTGGGCTCTGGGGAGGAGAGTGCAACCTGAGAAAGTGCAGGGGGGCCCGGGGAGCCTTCGTGGCACCTTCAAGCTGAGCCTGGGTCTTGCTTTCTGGGCAAACCCTTGGAGGTCAAAGAAAACTACAAAGGGAGGAGACCGCCCACACCCACACTGCCTTGAGACACAGATACCCACCACCTACCAGGCCCAGGTCCCACATGACGAAGAGGTCAGCCAGCCTCGCCAGCAAGTATGACCAGAGTATGGCCAAAGCGGGTGAGCCCACTAGTTCCACTGGTTAAACAGGCGTCCTCTCAGCTGGACAGAAATGGAATTGACTGGACCATTTGTGCTAAAAAGCTGCAATCTTTGATGTGACTGGGTTTCTCTCCTGAGTATGCATGTGTAGTGGGCTCCAGAGCTCTGGGCTACCGCTAGTTTGGTTTGGGCTGGTGGTTTGCCCTTGACCCTGGGTGGCGAAAAAGTCCTAGAAATGGGAAGGTGGTGTCTGTGATGGGCCTAGGTCTTTGCTGAGGAGGTCCTCCCCTGAGCTGACAGGCCCTAAATTTTACCTTCCTCAGGAAAGAAGCCTCCTCAGCTTCTAGAAAGTTCTTTTTAGAAATGTAAATCCACTCATCAAACTTCCTGCTTAAAACTCTCTAATGGCCTCCCACAGCCCAGATGACCACGGGCCTGTATCTCCCAGCACCCCGCACGCAGACTCTGTGGATGAGCCCGTCTGCCTCCAGGCTGTCTGTGCCTGCCCTCTTGGTATTACTCAGGCCTCCACTCCCCAACCAGTTGCTCAGGGAAGCATTAAACCAGCCCAGCAAGAGAGCCCCCAACAACCAACCCAGGACAGGGCCTTGCCTAGCACAGGAAATATTCATGGAGACAGGCACAGGGTATTCTGTCCCAGGGTAGTTGCTCCTGCCTACAAGGTCTCTGTAGGTCAAATGAATGGCGCCCTAGACTGAATGCCCAGGCGTGAACTAGGTCCCAGCTTCCCTACTCAGAACTGAAATGGCCACATACACTACATGCACAGACACAAACCAAAACACACTCAGGCCTTGCACATTTGGCAGGTCCCACCCAGGGTCTCCCTGCAGAGGGCAGGGGCTGTTTCTTTTTGGTTCCTCTGAGGCTGGTCTCTGCTGACCATGCCAGGGTGAGGGTCTCAAAGGAGGGAAGGAAGTGGGAATCTCAGATCACTGCCTGAAACCACAGGATGGCCTCGACCAAGAGCCTGGGAGCAGCTTAGCTCTGCCCACCCTGTGATCAAAACCAGGCCCTCCCAGGACCCAGAACACACTTCCCAGGAAGAACTTCCAGCAGTGACGGCACACCTCCTTGGGACCCCTGGTGCTGCGGAACATGTCTGCTAGGAGCCCAGGCCTGCCCCTGCCTCTACCTGCTAGAACCACTGGGTCCTCAGCCTGAGCAGAGGTCTCAACCCAACCCGGCTGCCCACACAACTCACCTGAGAGGCCTGCGGCTTTGCTCTGGGGTCAAAGATCCGCAGTTGCTTGTCCTGGAAAAGGAGAGAGGAAAAAATGACTTACAATTAGGGCCGGAGGGCTCCTGGGGGCCAGCCCAACCCCCAACCCCCAATCCCCAGCCCTGAGCACCCCATCCTCAGCACACAAGGCTGACATCTCACACCAGGGGCTGAAGGGTCCCTGGGGTCAGCCTGTCCCCACACCCCAGCTCTAAGCAGACCATCCCCAGTACACAGGGCTGCCATTATACCAGGGCATCCTTCCTCAGCCCCACTGCTCCCTCTCAGCACAGCGGCAAGCACACCCAGTCCCCTAGAAAAGCAAGCTCAGTGAGTGTTCACCTTCCTGAGACCTACTGCACACCAGGCATACCAGACACCTAACCCCTCCTCGTCATCCAACAACCCTATGAGGTGGTGCTATCACCACCATGACCCTTCAAAGACAGACAAACAGAGGTCCAGAACCAAACTCTAAGCTGTGAGCACCACATACATGCTCAGCCCCATGCTAGTCCTGGCATGCAGGGCTCATACAGTGACCTCATTTCTGCACTCACGGAGTTTAGCACCTAACCAGGAAGATGAGGTTATACCTCCTAACCATCCATTCAGCACAGTTACTGATTCAGATTGTCCAAAGGGAAGATGAAAAAAGACAAAAAACAGAAAAAAAAAGGACTGAAATAAAACACCCATGCTTTGTATAGAGCCTTCTTTCTGTGGAACAACCTCTGTGTATGTCCATGCACACGTGTGTGTATGTGTGTGCACGCACACAAAAATGCACGCATAAAGAACCAGGGCAGGGCCAGGTGCAGTGGCTCATGCCTGTAATCCCAGCACTTTGGGAGGCTGAGGCGGGTGGATCACCTGAGGTCAGGAGTTCAAGACCAGACTGGTAAACATGGTGAAACCTTGTCTCTACTAAAATGCAGGGGGAAAAAAAAAAAAAAAAACCAGGGCAGAATCTGTATCCACTGACTATTTAAAGGCTGGGCCATAATAATTTTTTTCTTTTCTTTTTTTGAGAGAGTCTCACTTTGTCGCCCAGGCTGAAGTGCACTGGCAAGATCTTGGTTCACTATAACCTCTGCCTCAGTGGTTCAAACAATTCTAAGTCTCCCGAGTAGCTGGGACTATAAGCTCGCGCCACCACGTCTGGCTAATTTTTTTTATTTTTAGTAGAGGTGGGGCTTTCACCATGTTGGCTGAGGTCTTGAATTCCTAACCTCATGCTCCACCTGCTTTGGCCTCCCAAACTGCTAGGATTACAGGTGTGAGCCACTCATTGTGCCAGCCTTTTTTTTTTCTTTTTTGAGACAGAGATTCTCTCTGTCACCCAGGCTGGAGTGCAGTGGTGCAGTCACAGCTCACTGCAACCTCCACCTCCCGGGTTCAAGAGATTCTCCTGCCTTAGCCTTCTGAGTAACTGGGATTACAGGAGCCCACCACCAAGCCCGGCTAATGTTTTGCATTTTTAGTAGAGTTGAGGTTTTGTCATGTTGGGTAGGCTGGTCTTGAATTCCTGATCTCAGGTGATCTGTCTGCCTTGGCCTCCCAAAGAAGTGCTGGGATTACAGGCATGAGCCACCACAATGGCCTTTTTTTTTCCTTTGAGACAGAGTCTCGCTCTGTTGCCCAAGCTAAAGTGCAGTGGTACATTCACAGCTCACTGCAAAAACAACCTCCTAGACTCAAGCAATCATCCCACCTCAGCTTCCCAAGTAGCTGAGACCACAGGCACATGCCACCAGGCCCTGCTAATGTTTTCATTTTTCTGTTATAGAGATGAGGTCTCACTATGTTGACCAGGCTGGTTTTGAACTCCTGGCCTCAAGTAATCCTTCTGCCTCAGCCTCCCAAAGTGTTAGCATTATATGTGTGAGCCACCACGCCTGGTTTAAATATACATTTTAAAAATATGGCCAGGTGCGGTGGCTCAAGCCTGTAATCCCAGAACTTTGGGAGGCCAAGGCGGGCAGATCACAAGGTCAAGAGATTGAGACCATCCTCGCCAACATGGTGAAACCCCGTCTCTACTAAAAATACAAAAATTAGCTGGACATGGTAGCATGCACCTGCAGTCCCAGCTACTAGGGAGGCTGAGGCAGGAGAATTGCTTGAACCCAGGAGGCAGAGGTTGCAGTGAGCCGAGATTGTGCCACTGCACTCCAGCCTGGCGCCTGGCAACAGAGTGAGACTCTGTCTCAAAAAAAAAAATACACACACACACACACACACACACGGCCAAAAAGCGTTAAGAAAAGATGTTCGATATATTTTTTAAAATAGCAACATGGGCCGAGTGCGGTGGCTCATACCTGTATCCCAGCACTCTGTGAGCCCGAGGCAGGCGGATCACCTGAGGTCAGGAGTTTAAGACCAGCCTGGCCAATGCGGTGAAATCTCATCTCTACTAAAAATACAAAAATTAGCCAGGCGTGGTGGCAGGCGCCTATAATTCCAGCTATTCAGGAGACTGAGGCAGGAGAATCACTTGAGCCTGGGAGGCAGAGATTAAAGGGAACCGAGATTGAGCCACTGTACTCCAGCTTGGCAACAGACTGAAACTCCATCTCAAATAAATAAATAAATAAATAATAAAAATAAAAATAAAAAAAATTAGCTGGGTGTGATGGCATGTGCTTGTAGTCCAAGCTACTCAGGAGTCTGAGGTGGGAGGACCGCTTGAGCCTGGGAGCTTGAGGCTGCAGCAAGCTAAAAAAAACAAAGAACGTAAATTTTATGACATGCATTTTTTTTTACCACAATTAAAAAAAATAGCTATTAGCCCACAAAAAGACATTGCTAAGTGAAAGAAGTCAATCTGAAAAGGCTACACACTACATACTGTATCATTCTAACTGTATGACTTTCTGGAAAAGTCCAGTATATAGACAACGAAAAGATCAGCAGTTGGCAGTGATTTGGGAGGAGGGAGGAAGGGATGATAGATGGAACCCAGGGGATTTTTAGAGCAGTTAAACTATTCTGTATAGTGATTACATTACATCATGCATTTGTTACAACCCATAAAATGTACAACATAGACTAAACCCTCATGCAAACTGTACACTTTAGTTAATAATAATGTCTCAGGCCGGGTATGGTCGCATATGCCTATAATCCCAGCACTTCAGGAGGCCGAGGTGGTTGGATCACTTGAGGTCAGGAGTTCGAGACCAGCCTGGTCAACATGGTGAAACCCCACCTCTACTAAAATACAAAAATTAGCCGGGTGTTGTGGTGCACGCCATTAGTCCCAACTACATGGGAGGCTGAGGCACGAGACTCACTTGAACCGGGGAGGCGGAGATTGCAGTGAGCTGAGATGGTGCCACTGCACCCCAGCAATGCAAATAATAGTAACAATAATGTACCATGATTGGTTCATCAATTGTAACAATGCACCACACTCATACAAGATGTTTATCATAGACACTGGGGAAGAAAGTAAGGATACAGAAAATCCTTCTACTACTTGCTCACTTTTTCTGTGAACTTAAAGACTAGAAAATAGTCCATCAATTAAAATGACACAAAACAAAATGAAGGGAAAAACCAAGTGAATTCCTGCTGTGTGTACAGCCCCTCCCTGGGAGATGGGTAGCCTCCCCGCTACTACCAAGCTTGAGGCTAAGTCCTGGACTCAGGGGCCTGAAGGTTGTCATGGGAAACCACAGGGAAGAACTTAGACCTGGTCGGCGAAGGACAAAGAAAGCTTGTGCTGGGAAGGGAAAGGCATTCGAAGAAAGTAGAATAGCATGAACAAAGAGGTGGAGAAAGGAGCTTGCTGTTATGTGGCGTTGGGGGAGGACAGGCCAGATAAGGAGGCAGATGGTGGGAAACAAGGATGCTATGGGCACACACATGGCTAGTAGAGGCAGGGGCCTGACTGGAGAGGGCCTCAAAAGCCAGGTCTCCCTGGTCTGCCTCTGCGGAGGCCCAGTTTTATGCCACTTCTGACAAAGCCCTGCCAGCTGCAGTTTATCAAGCACCTGCTATATTCCAAGCAGGTAACAGGCATAGTCCAGGGACTGGCTGTTAACATCCCTCTACTCCGCAGCCTCGGGTTCAGAGGGCTGTTGAGAGACAGACAGATCAGACAGATGAAGACAGTGAGAGGAAGAGGGACAGAGAGGAGGAAGAGACAGAAGACAGAGACCAGAGAGCACAGCGAGGGATGAGACAGGACAGAGAGGGACAGGAACAGAGGACAATGACTGAGCAGGCCAGAGAGCAACTAGAAATCAAGGACAGAGATGGGACAGCAAGAGACAGGCAGGACATGAGGGACAGCAAGAGACGGAGGCTTGCCAGGCACGGTGGTTCATGCCTGCAATCCCAGCACTTAGGGAGGCCAAGGCGGATGGATCATGAGGTCAGGAGTTCAAGACCAGCGTGACCAACACGGAGAAACCCCGTCTCTATTAAAAATACAAAATTAGCTGGACATGGTGGCACATGCCCGTAATACCAGCTACTCAGGAGGCTAAGGCAGGAGAATCGCTTGAACTCAGGAGGTGGAGGCTGCAGTGAGAACGCACCATTGCATTCCAGCCTGGGCAAAAAGAGCAAAACTATCTCAA